CAGCAGGCGAGTCAGGAGAGGTCTGCTGTGCCATGTGGGGAGCTCCCTGGCGAGGGATGGAACTCGTGCTGCAGTGGCTATTGAGAGCTTCATAGTGCTGAGACTCAACCCCTGCACCACCAGGGAGGCCCCTATACTTGACTATTTTTAATGTTGAAGGCCTTCTTCAAATTCCTCATGATCTTTAGTGGTTGGTTTATATTTAATAAGGAAGGGCTGGACAGGTATTTTGGATTTAATCTGTTTCAGAACAAATAGGAGCACTGTCTTGCTGTGACTCCTCTGTGGAGGGCAGGACACTGAAAAGCAAAGTTCACAGCCCACAAATGCTAGAACGTGGCGGAAATGGTTCGGGGGAGCCAAGATCCACGCCAGCAACCAGAGTGCTGTACAGACACTCCCCTCTGTTTTTGGAGAGCTGTCAGGTGATTTCCCTGCAGGCCGGTACTAGCCGCCCGCTCATCTATCTGCGGGAGCAGTGGGGGTTCCAACTAGCATAGTCATTCTGCATCTGGGCCTTCAGTCACCCCCATGGGTTCAGGCGCATCTAACTCCATTGCCTTCCAGCCATGCCTGCTGACTCTGAGCCTGCTCTCTGCCGTGGAGTCTGGCCAATGGCTCCCACTGCCTCAGCAGAGCCCTCGGCAGATACTCGTGGCTGGAGTTTTCCTACCTGCTTTACTCATCAACTAATCCCCGTCTGCTGAAATTGCTGAAATTTCAAATTTCAAAATTTCAAAATGGCTGAAATCTGTCCATTGATGATGACCTCCCTTCTTCACTACATTCTTTTCACACTGGTGTGTTGATTATTTTCTGTTCCTCAGTGCTTTTCTTGTAGGGCGAGCCTAAGGGTCAAGAAGGAAAACTCTGTGTGTGGGTCTGTGTGGGTCTGGGGTGGGGGGCCAGGGTGTGCCCACATTGTGAACACGATGTATCAGAATGAATGTGGGCAGGAGCTCGTCGTCCAGTTGACCTCTACGGCCACTTGTCATTGGGTTTACTATGAAAGGTTCTCATTGTCAGTCATTTCTGAAGAATTTATAATTTTAGTTTTGCTTTCTCTTTAACCAAATGGCTATTTTGAAGCCTACTTTAAAACTTCCAAGTAGAGAGCATTTTGGTTTGTTTGTTTTACCTTTGCCCGTTCTTTCCCCTGAAATTGTCATCTTTCTTGTATTGTTGCCAGAGACTGTGTACGGCATGATTCCTGCATTTTGAAATTTACTGAGATTTTTTTTTTTGAGGGGTCTAATTCATAGGCAACTTTAAGAAATGTTTCATAAGTGTTTGGATCAAATTTGTGTTTTTTATTTCTCATGGTATCATTTGGGGCATTAGTTTTAAATCTTTGGATTGCAGTTACACCCGTCTCATTTTCCATTGTCATTTTGGATTCACTCTTCTAAAAATATATGTATTTTCCAACTAGTTGAAGGGATGCTTAGATGGAGTAGAAGGTTGTATTCTGGCCACATGGATAAAATTCTTCTCATTGTTGAATCTCTGTCAGTTGCTATCTATAACATATTTTTCTGTTTTTTTTTTTAATCTTCTATGAACCTATTTTTAATGGAACCCATTTAAAATGTTATAGTTCCTTTTTAAAAAAAAAAATGCCCATTTAAATTCTACTAGTAAACACTCTCAACTCTAGTATTTTTTTCTACTTTTCAATAGCAAAAGTGAAATTGTATCATTTAAGTACCATATATTCAATCTAAGGAATTTAGCAAGACCCTTTCCATTGGTTTTCTCTTTCAGAAATTTTTAGACTTCCAGTCCTGTACACTTATTCTTCCTGTTCTAGTACAAACATCTAGTTATAGGCCATAAAAACTCCCAGATTTTTACTAGGGCAAAGAATTTCCACATGAATTAATGGAGAATTGACATCTTTATGACATGGACGCTTCTCTTCTAGGAGTATGGGAGTCCCTATTTTTCTTTCAGGTCTTCTTTTATGTTTTCCAGCAAAGTTTTATAGTTTTGTGTAGAAGTTTTTGGCATTTATTATTAAGTTCATTCCCAGCTATTTTATAATTTGTGTAGCTAGAGTGAGAATTGTTTTCTCCCCCATTACTTTTTCCAGCTTTTTATTACTGGTGGGATCCATATGCTTGCATCCTAATAAGCAGGAAATTGACTTGAGATTAATGAGTCTTTCTCCTCGTGGTGTAACTCTAAAGATGATTTTTTTTAAAAGAATGGAGGGGGGCAAGATACATGTGTTTTATTTTACATGAACAATGTTGTACTATAGATCTTGTTCTGTTTCTTGCTTTGTCCCCACTTAACACCATTAAATATGACATTTATCCAAAGGATTTTTTTATAGATACCTTTATCAATTTAAGGAAGTTCCCTTTTATTCATAGTTCTGTACATTGTTTTTTTATAAGTTGGTATTGAATTTTATCAACACTTTTCCTGATTCTATATTAGTCTTATTAGTTGTTCTCAACTGTGTTAACATTAATTTTCTATTTTTAAACCATCCTTGCATTCTTAGGAGAAAACTGAACTTGGTTATATCATTATATACTGCTGGATTCAGTTTGTTTGTCTAGAATTTTCCCATCTATTTCCACGTTCCATGTTATACTTCATTATGATAGTTACAATATAGTTATATATAATAGTTATATTAGTCTCATAAAATAAGTTTGGAAAGATTTTTCTGTTTATGGATTTCCTAATTATATGAAAGATTTGCTAGAACTCATCTGCAAAGCTCTCTGGGCTTAGTTTGTTGGGGGTAGATTTCAAAAAAAGTAGTCAATTTCTTTGTGGTTATAGAAGACCTGTCCAGGCTTTCTATTTGTACAGTCAGTTTTGCTAAGCTGCTTTTTTCTAGAGATGTGTTCATTTTGCTTATTTTTAAATTTACTGTCATGTGGTTGTTCATAATATCTTCTAAAAATGAATCTATTATCTATTGTATAAACTAGTGTATCAGTGATTCTGTCTCCTTTTCATTTCTATTATAATTTACTTGTGTCTTCTCTCTTCATATCTAGCTTGTTAGAGGGCTGTCTTTTTTCCCAGATGATTGAGAATCAGCTTCTGATGTTCTTAATTCTATCATGTGTTTCTGTTTCATCAATTTCCCTCAGCCTTGTTTTTTCCCTTCTATTTTTCTTCCAGGTTCATTCTGTTGCTCCTTTGATAGCTTCTGTAGTTGGATATTCAGCTTGTTGGCTTGTGGACCTATCTGCTTACTCCACATTTCTTTTTGCACGTCTAATAGGCACCTTAAGCTTAACAGGGCCACAACGGAATTCTTGATCTGTACCTCCAAAAACGTACTTTTCCTACAGTTTTCCTGTCATGGTAAGAGGTACCCATTCACTCAGTTGCTCAGGCCCAAAAGTCAGGAATCATCCTTGTTTCTCTTTCTCTATACCCTTTGTCCCATCTTTTCTGCTCAATTCTGAAAACACAGCTTGACTCTCACAAGTTCTCAGAACCACCATTGCTACCACCCTGGTCAAACCCGCCATCACATCTCCTAGGCTGTCACTAGGGCTTCCTGACTGGCTTCTTGCTTCTAGTTTTGTCCCCCATGGACTGATTCAAAACCCGGCAAGGGCTTCTCCTCTCAGAATAACCTCCAAGTTCCCATGTGGTTCCAGGTGCCTTTCCAACACTACCACTTTTCAGTCAGGTAAGCTGCCTCGTCAGTCCCTAATGTGCCAGGCATAATCTCTCCTCAGGACCTTTGAACTTGCCCGAAATTTCCCTTCCCTAGATAGTAATATGGGGGAATAAAATGAGGTCAAAAGCCTGTGACTATCTAAATGGCACCCTCTTCATCCTTCCTGTATCTATCTCAAAGCCCTTATCGTTATGGGACTTTATATCACATATGTATTTGTATGTTTAGCATTGAATTTTCCCACAAGAATGTTAGTTGGCTGTCCTGTTCAGCAGTGCTGCGCACCCCGAGCCTGGAGTGCATAGCAAGTGTTGAATAAATGAGTTGGGGGGCGGGGACGGGGAGGAGGGTCAAGAGGCAAACTAGAATCAGAAGGTTCCTTGTTAAGCATAGAACTAGCATAGAACTTGTTAAGCATCGGTTGAATTGAATGGTGGCTGAACTCAAGGCTGCCTTGAAAACAGCCCTGTCCTGAACACCACATTGGCGGAAACTTCTCTCAGACTCTTAAATACTTTCCAGAAATAGAATTGCTGGATATTAGTTCCCCAAACACCTCTTCTAGGAAGCCTTCCCTCTCCCTTGTAGGCAGAGCTGAAAGCGCGGCATCCTCTGCGCTCCCACTGCCTGTGATCCACACCTCCACCCATCCATGCGCTGCCGTGACGACAGGCCTCGCGTGACCTGGGCACGCACCCACTTCCCCCAAGAGTGTGAAGGCGGCCAGGGCTGTGGCTTATTGTCAGTTCATTCCCGGCCCCTGTGAGACTGGTACATGAGAGGCTTGGATGAAAGCACAAGGTAGGCCTCTTAAAGCAAGGTCCTCTGCTGGAACGTCAGGCTCCAGGGCAGGCAACTTTGCTGCTCCCTCCGAAGGTGGTGATATTGACAAGATGCGGGTGCTGGGAAACGCTTCCTGGGGCGCGCTGCTGAAGAGCTGGTCAACAACTCCGGAGGGCGGCGCCAACAGGCGTCCCGAGCCTAGGCCTCCACTTGCCCCAGCATCCTCAAGGACCCATTAATCCCTAACATTCAAATGCCGCCCACTAAACCAGTCCCTCGGCGCCCAAGTCGCCTCTTTTCCCCAAGTGACGGCCGACGGCAGCCAATCGCTGGCCCTCGGAGGGGTCCGCCCCCTTTTCCCGGGTCGGAATCGACACGCACTCCCGCCAATGGTCGGTGTCGCCGGTGAGGCCCCGCCCCTTCCCGCCAGCCCCAGCCAATAGCAAGCTGGCTGGCCCCGCCCCCCCGGGGGCGGGGCGAGGGCGCGCAGGTGCAGCTGCACGCAGGCCGGCCGGGAGGGCGGGGCGCGACGTCGGCCGTGCGGGGTCCCGGCGTCGGCGGCGCGCGCGCTCCCTCCTCTCGGAGAGAGGGCTGTGGTAAAAGCCGTCCGGAAAATGGCCGCCGCCGCCGCCGCCGCGCCGAGCGGAGGAGGAGGAGGAGGCGAGGAGGAGAGACTGTGAGTGGGACCGCCGCGGCCGCGGGCGGGAACCCCTGCCGGGGGGCGGGGGGCAGGGGCGGGACGTGGCGCGGGAGGGGCCCGCGGGGTCGGGCGACACGGCTGGCGGATGGCGTCCCTCCTCTCTACCCTCCCCCTCCCGAGGCCGCCGCCGGGGACGGCTCCCCCCGCGGCCCGTCCTCGCGCTCGCGGGCGGAGGGCCTCGGCTCGGCGCCCGAGACCGCCTGCGCCCGGGCCCCCTCCCTCCCGCCTGCGGCGCAAATTCCGGCCCCCGGCCCGCGGGCGCCCCCGTCGCCGGGGCCTAGGCTGTCGGGACTGTGCGCGCGTCGTGCCCTTCCCGGGGCTCCTGGTCCGCGGCGCCGTCGCGCGCCCGCGGCCCCGGCCTCTCCCTGGCTCGCGCTTCCCCTCCCTCCCTCCCTCCCTCGCGCGCCCCCTCTCCCGTTACTCGGCCCCCCCACCGGCGCGCGTGCGCAGTCCGCCTCCCGTCGGGAGAGTGCGCCACAAGGGCTCCTGCGCGCTCACCCCCATCTCGGGGCTGGGCCTCCCCCTCCTCCTCACCAGTTCCGTGACTCTGCCCCCACGGCGAGCCAGGTGCCCCTCCACCTCCTTCCCATTCAGCGGGAACCCGGAGGTGGGAACTGGTGCGCACCCACCGAGGGCATGAGACGTCGTGCTCCCGGCCCCGCAACTCATCCCAAAGAGGCAGTTACAGTTCCCACCGGGAGCCGTGGGTAGGGGACTGCGTGTCCCGCGGCACTCGAGACTCTTGGGGGGAGGGCGCCCCAGGGCTTTTGGGGGTGCCGTGGCCCCAGAATCTGAGCGCCATCCCAGCCTCCCCTCCTTCGCCGGCGATCTTCCAGTTACATAAGTGGAGTGGGACATAATGTGTGCCGGGCTCCCCGAGTCCCGTTGCGCGCCCCGCTGGAGATCGACGGCACCAGATGGGGCAAGTCCACGGCCTCGCTGTGCTCCTGTCTCTCGTCTCTGCAAGTCGATTCTCTTTTCAGTTGGGTGGTGACTGAATCACCCACACTGAGACTCAGGTGACTTTTCTGTGGCGTGGCCGAGCCTCTTGGGTTTTGTGCTAAAGACTTCAGGTCATGGTGAAGAGTCTGAGAAGGCGGCTTTAGCAGGGGAGACCGTGCTGACACTGCTCACTGTGGACCCGAGCGGGGGGCCTGCCCTGGACGCCTCGTTAGCGGGAGCTCCCGCGTGAGTTTGTTGCTGAGGGCTGGGCACAGCGAACATGAGCTCCACCACCAAAGTGATGTTCCTGACTCATGGTCAAGCAGATGTATGTTTCTGGCTTTTTCCAGGAACAGGAATGGGCTCTGCAGAGCCACTCACTGTGTGGGATCAGCACCCCAGATTGTGAGAGGTAGGGTGGAATATAGGGCATGATGGGTGACTGTGGAACCACACTGACCGGGGTGTGATGCTAGTGGCTCAGGCTTGCTAGTACTCTCACAGGTTTTAGACGTTCCATTATAGTAGAAAAACGAAGCATATTTGGGCCTCGATGGTGAAGTTCACCATTAGCACACAATTACTACTCTGGTGGAGAAATTGGGGTTTCGTGGCTGGGATTTTCATCTGGAGCTCAGCAGTTTCAGTTAGCAATGAAATGAGCTGATCTCTTGGGTCTTTTCAGATATGCTGGATCCTTGCTTTTTTAAAAAAAAAAAAGGTCTGGATTTTTTTAGGTCTCATGGGAATTTGCAGCAGGGGCTCAGGGAAATAGGCTGATTTATGTGCTTTTTTAGGACTTCTGCTTCAGGCACCCAAGCAGGAAGCCTAGCGAATACTTTCTTTTATTGTCTTACCTGGACATGTCAAAACCCTGGCTTGGTCTAGGCATGGTCTGTGTGCAAGTGCGGTTGATGGAAGAGAGCGCCACAGTCGCCTGTGCGTGGCTTGCCAGCTAGAAAGGCTGGTCTCTGGGTATTTCCCTTCACACCCGCTGGCCTCACTTGACGAAGACCACGAGGTTTGTACAGTTCAGCCGAGACGAGACAGTGTGAGGCGACAGGATGCTTTGTTTCGCCTCGATGGAGTGCGTTTTCCACCCCCGGTGCCCCTCCAGTCAGTTGTCTGTCCTGCCTCAGCCCTTCCCAACACAGGCACCTTCCAGAGTGTAGTTTCTCTGCAGCGTGGCTGATGGCATCTGAGCTTAGAATACCCTGACAGCGTGAAGAAACCTCATGTGGCTTTCTTGCTAGCGCTGGCCTGTCACACCTACCTGTGTGTGCTGTTTGTGTGGTCGTGTATTGTTCGTGTGTTTGTGCTAGGATGCAATTTTGCATTCTGCTGGCGATTTCCAGCCAGTCATTGTTTCTCTTGCCTGCCCTTTCGCTGTAAGGCCAGCCTGGGGGGGGGGGGCAGCTGTAGAGTCTCAAAGAGAAGCTGGCTCCGTGAGTCTGTCCCATGTCAGCTTGTCCCCACCTGCTCCTCACACCTTCTCTTCTCTGTGGAGCTGGAGCGATCTGGCTTCTTCACCTGGAGTGGGGCAAGCTGGGATCAAAGATTTGTAGTTCCTAACTCAAGTCCCTTTCCAGAGCTAAATACCTGCCCGGGACTATTTGCATGATAAAGGATGTGATTTGGTATCTAATCTTCAAAGGAAAAAAAGGTGATTATTATTTGTGGGACTCTTAGGTCGCTTAGGGTGCTGTCATGAGCCAGCAGGCTGCTTAAGTTATCCATGAGGAGGAGAGAATCACAGTAGCATTGCACATTTGTCCTGACTAGTGTCTTTCGCACACAGTGGGTAAAACACAGGCCTCAGGCGGCTGCGCGCTCTTGGAAGGGTGGCAGGACACCTGCCAGTTTTACCCCCTCTGCCGTAGGGACATGTGTGCAGACCAGCCTCGTGTGACGGACAGACACAAACTTTTTTCTTGGGTAGAGCATGTTTCTGCTCCAGCAGAAGGACCTTGTCCTCAGCGCTTCTGTGCCAGCCCTCTCCAGTGAAACCGCTGTGCCTGTCAGGTGGGACAGATGTGAGCAGGCCCTTCCTCCTTGGGCTTCTGTCACAAAACTTGTGCTCATCAGCCTTTACCTGCTCTCTCCTGCCGTTTTCTTGCAAGGAGCCTTTTCCTCTGGAAAGCTTGATGTGCATGCCATTGCTTACACACTTGGCCCCAGCACTTTGATGGTAGGTATGGTGTGTGCGGAGGGGGCTTGGGGGCCTGCCGGCATCTCCATTCCCATAGTAAAAAGAACCATTCTGTTAGAAAGAAAGCCTCGTCCTTTAGGGCGTTTCTAACCTTGGTTGGTCTTTAAGCCAGTGGGGCCCACTTGGGTCAGGCCTGCTGGCACGGGAGTGTGTCCTCAGCCTGGCGAGTGGCTGTTTCGCAGTTACTCAGAAGCCTGGCCTGCAGCAGGCCTCAGGAAGGGCTCCCTCATCTTCCTTGCCTACGAGCTGGGGCGCATAGACAGGAGCCCACACAGCGCTGCTGTGCTGGGTTTTCTCCTCACTGCTCTCGTTCTCTGGCTCTTCTTTTTTTTTTTTTAAACCCAAACTTGAGTTAATGAAAGATCATAAACTTTCAGAGCCGGAAGGTCCAGCTGCTTCAGTTTCAAGTGAAAAAAAAAAAAATGTGGCTGGGAGAAGTAGTTGTAACTTTTTGAGGGCCTCCCAGCCAGGACACCAGTTCCATTTTTATGACACAGCTAAGTGGGTGATACTGTTACCTGACTTCTGCGATTCCAGAGTACTCCGGGGCTCTGTGTCGGAGGGGATTCTAAGCGCTCGCTGCACCTGAGCAGGTAATTCTAGGCACCATCGTGGTGGCCGTGCCTTGGTCGCGGACACGCGGGGGGTGTCGCCCTCGCTCTGTGTTTGAGTGCACGAGTAACTGTGTGAAGCGTCTCTTTCAGGTGTACACGCGGGGCTTTTTTTTTTTTTTTTTCTTTTTTCGGGCCAGCACGGTATCTGGGATTAGCTAATCTGGGCCAGTTTAGGTTGTAACAAGAAAATGATGGTTATCGTCATGATGAAAAATGTAACGGCAAAAGTTCGTTTTTGAACCTGTGTTCAAAAGCAGAAAGGAAACTATCCAACTAAGAGCTCTGCTGAACATTGCCATCTGCTCGGCTGAGAGGCTTCAAAGTGATTGCTCTGAGACAGACTTTCGTATTTCGAGGACGGCCTTGCCTCTCCTCGGCGCTTGCTTCCCAGCGCTGCTTTTTCCCTCTCAGGGTTAAAGCAGCTCCTACGTGTCGTGACAGCCGCTCATTGCAGCTTCAGCTGCTTGCAGGAGAAGGCAGGCAGCCTCGGGACTGCGCGCGTGCTCTCAGGGATGACATTTCCCTGCTGCGTGTTCTCACGAACATGTGCTCTCTCCCTAAGTGTTTCTCTACAACATGGTGCGAGAAACACTTACGAGAGGTCGCCACTGCCGTGTGCTTGGTAGTGTCCCTCAGAGGGGACGAGACCTGTGATCACGTGGATTCTAACACGCATGCAGTTTTCCTCGTGTCCGTGCCATGTGTTCCATGCCAGCAGTCTGCAGTGCACTTTGTTTCTAGCTGGGCCAGCTGGGAGCTAGCGTAGAGCGCGGCCTGTGTTCATCTTCGAGATGTCCCAACTAGCCCTGGGAAAAAGGTCGTGCAGCTCAATGGGGGCTTTCAACTTACGATTTTCTTTGTTTTAGGCTCCATAAAAATACAGACTCACCAGTTCCTGCTTTGATGTGACATGTGACTCCCCAGAATACATCTTGCTTCTGTAGACCAGCTCCACCAGGATTCCATGGTAGCTGGGATGTTAGGGCTCAGGTAAGTAAGCTTCCTTTTTTTTTTTTAGTATATGTCCTGGTTTGGCCATCTGTTTTTAAAAAAGAAAAAAAAAAAGAAAGAAAAAAAAGAGCTCTACGCTTGGACAGTACACACGTGCCCCAAGGACTAAAGACATAGTGTGCCAAACTGCGCCATATAATAAAAAAAAGTCACTTCCCTGAGCCCTGCAAGGTCAGTCCGGGTAGGGCCCTCGGAGGCCG